ATTGGAACCTTGAGCATCTCTCAACCAGGATTCTTCATTCATCTAAACACATTCCTCCTGCGGAGGGAGCTGGTAGGAACGTTGGGTTGCTCGGTCAATGGCCTGCAGGGTCAACGGCGGCGTGGTGTATTCCGCAAATATGCCCGACTGTGAGGGCGGGCACAAGCCGGCGTGAGTAGGTTAAACGTTGAGTTTTATAAGGGCACCACGGGGTGACCAGCCCCTCCCCACCCAGCCCCACCCCTCCCACCCCCCACCCTCCCCACCCAGCCCCTCCCACCCTCCCCACCCAGCCCCTCCCTGCACGACGGACACAATAATCCCCTGTGGGCTGGTGGAACCAGTGGGTTCCTACCAGTATAAGGAGACGCTCATTCGAAGAGATACAAATTAAGTGCAAGGCATTCGGTGGGTGGGCGCGTGCACACCCACTCCACGTTTGTCCGAATTAAGTCCCGTTAGGGGCCGTCCATAAATGACGTCACGCGATTTTGGACGATTTTTTACCCCCCCCCCCCTTGTTACACGGCGTCACAAAAAGTCAGACCCCCCCCCCTAAAATATGAAGTCAGACCCCCCCCCCCCCAAAATACCTTATTATTTACTTTGGCCTTCAATTGAGTTGATCTTGGTTCCATTGTTCTATGTAAACATGAGGTGGTGGGTTCGATCCCGACCCTTGACGCCTGCTGTATATTTGGAGTTTGCGTGTCTCTCTCTCCCCGTGGTCGCGTGGATTTTTCTCCGTGTCCTCCCGTTTTTCCCTCCACATTTAGAATCCGCGAGCGCTTAGAGTATGTGCCTGCAATACACTTCCACGTAATGAAAAGTCCACTTCGCTGAGCCGTCGTTTGTAATGGCCAGGTCTCGTCTGAAAAAGAGCCACACAGCTAAAGTGGGCCTTGCTTGGTGCAATATTTTTCCTTTGTGTATTTTATGTTCTGTCCTGGAGAGCCTTGCGTGATATATAATCATAATGAATCAAATGTGATGGAGCATCGTTGAGAGTCTGGCATTAAATATATATATAACACATCAGAAGGTTGTCTCTGGTGTAGAGATCGCAATCGGGTACCCGATACCCGTGCCTTACCCGATACCCGGCGTCCCGTACCCGGCCAGGTACGGGTACCCGTTTGCGACCCTGGTGCGGCCGGGTATGGGTACGGGTAGGCCGTGAGTCACTGGTGAGTCACTGGTGAGTCACCGTTTGTCACTCATTTCCCAACGTCTGTCTCTTCTCACAATTCAAGTTCCTAGAATCAACCCACCCGCGCCTGCAACATGGCTTCATCCCAGAGGTCGTAATCGGGTACCCGTACCCTACCCGATACCCGGCCGGGTACGGGTAGCCGGGTATCGGGTAGGGTACGGGTACCCGTTTGCGACCCTGGTGCGGCCGGGTACGGGTACGGGTAAGGAATCAAAACCCGTTTGCGACCTCTGCTCTGGTGTTGGCCTATAAGTTCCAAAGACAATGCATATATTATCAAATCATGTTAGTTTGCATGTTTTTGCCACAACTACTGTGTGGTTAATGTAGACTTGATTCCTTGCAAAAGGTATATAATTTGGTGTTTGAACATCTGAACATCTGTTTTATTGGCACAAATGGGTAAAACCTATTCTTATTTAACACGTAGTAAGTAGTAGTGAGGCTTTTGTAACCAATATTATCCGTAATAAAGACATGTTTGTTTCGCCAGAAGTACTGTGTGTGGTTAATGAACACTTGGGGCATTGCAAAAGCCATCTAATATAGGTGTTTGAAAATCTTAACACCTCCTGTTTTATTGGCACAAAGGGGTAAAACGTATTCTAATTTAACACGTAGTAAGCAGTAGTAGGGCTTTCTCGAACATTATTATTCATAACAGAGCACGTTTGTTTTTATGCTTTTTGTTGTTGTCACAAGCACTTGTGTGTGGTTAATGCACATTCGATTCCTTGCAACACCTCCTGTTTTATTGCCACAAATGGGGTCAAACCCATTCCCACGTTTCACACGTCACCGTGTGTGACATGCACCACGTGTGCTGTGACGTCAACGGAAGGGAGCTTTGTGCCCGTTAGCGACGAGGCTGAGCGTTGTGGTAAACCGCCGTTTCAAAGCATCTACATCTGCAGAACTTGAAGAACCGGTGGCATCTACATCTTCAGAACTTGAAGAACCAGTGGCATCTACATCTGCAGAACTTGAAGAACCGGTGGCATCTACATCTGCAGAACTTGAAGAACCGGTGGCATCTACATCTGCAGAACGTGAAGAACCAGTGGCATCTACATCTGCAGAACGTGAAGAACCAGTGGCATCTACACCTGCAGAACATGAAGAACCAGTGGCATCTACATCTGTAGAACGTGAAGAACCAGTGGCATCTACATGTGTAGAACGTGAAGACACCAGTGGCATCAACATCTGCACCACATGAAGACACCAGTGGCATCTACATCTGCAGCACATGAAGAACCGGTGGCATCTACATCTGCGGAACACGAAGAACCAGTGGCATCTACATCTGCAGAACATGAAGAACCAGTGGCATCTACATCTGAAGAACATATATAATCATTGGCATCTACATCTGCAGCACATGAAGACACTAGTGGCCATCTACATCTGCAGAACATGAAGATACTAGGGGCAACTTCATCTGCAGAACATGAAGAACCAGTGCCATCTACATCTGCAGAACATGAAGAACCACTGGGAGCTACGTCTGCAGAACTTGAAGAACTGTTGGCATCTACATCTGCAGAACTTGAAGAACCGGTGACATCTACATTTGCAGAACGTGAAGAACCAGTGGTATCTACATCTGCAGAACGTGAAGAACCAGTGGCATCTACATCTCCAGCACATGAAGACACCAGTGGCATCTACATCTGCAGAACGTGAAGAACCAGTGCCATCTACATATGCAAAACATGAAGAACCAGTGGCATCTACATCTGTAGAACGTGAAGAACCAGTGGCATCTACATCTGCAGAACGTGAAGAACCAGTGACATCTACATCTGTAGAACGTGAAGAACCAGTGCCATCTACATATGCAGAACTTGAAGAACCAATGGCATCTACGTCTGCAGAACTTGAAGAACTGTTGGCATCTACATCTGCAGAACGTGAAGAACCAGTGGCATCTACAGAACGTGAAGAACCAGTGACATCTACAGAACGTGAAGAACCAGTGGCATCTACATCTGCAAAACACGAAGAACCGGTGGCATCTACATCTGCAGAACATGAAGAACGAGTGGCATCTACACTTACATGTGATTATACAACTTGTAAAGACATTCCCCGTATTTGGTGAACACGCCGTAAAACGTGTTTGGAATGGACGGGAGTAAAGTTGGGATTCTAGATTTGTATCTTGGAATGTTTGCATCACTTGATACAGTAAATCTGGCTGTGACGGTCCCACCTGATGACGGAGGCTTGTGTTGCCTCCGAAACGTCGTGATTTATTATTTTATTTCTATTCTTATTTTTATTAATTTTTAAAAAAATTCCTACGTGACTTTACCGAAAAAACCTAAGAGTAGTAAAGTTGAAAGTTACGAACAAGTCGACTTACGAACAGACACATCTGGAAGCTACATCGTTCGTAAGTCGAGGAGTTCCCCTGCACGTTCGTAAGTCGAGGAGCTTCCCTGTACGTTGTAATGAATGAAGATAGCCATACACGTTGCCAGCAGAGGGCAGTTGCAGGTCGTTCACGTTCGGCACTGCCACTGCTTTTAAATTGCAAACACTTCCTGTGTCTTCTTGGTTCTTTCGGTAAAGTCACGTAGAAGGGAAGTAATAAAATAATAAAAATAAAACATAATAAAATTATTCGCACGACGTCGTGAGAATAATTTTATTATGTTTTATTTGTATTATTTTATTACTTCCCTTCTACGTGACTTTACCGAAAGAACCAAGAAGATGAATCCCTGCAGTCACGAAAGCTTTAAATCAAAAAAAATTTACTTCCTGTGTGTTGAATCAAATCGGTAGGCAAACCAAAGGACTCGTTCACCAATTGGAATCGAATCGTTACACCGATTTTAAATGGAATCGAATCGTTAACCAATCTAATCGCATTTTTTACCAAAAATAAATGGAATCGTTCACCCAAGGTAGTCGAGTCGTTAGCTAATTGCAATGGAATTCGTTACACCCAATGTAATGAAACCGTTAACCATTTATAATCGAATCGTTACACGAAAAGATTCATAGAAGCTTTCTTCATGGAATCGAATCGTTAACCTATTGGAATCGAATCGTTGCCGGTAAGAATGAATAGAATCGTTACCCACCGGAATCGAATCTTTACCGAAGGGAATCTTTCTCGCAATTGAATCGATTCGTTACACCTTAGATAAAAGGATCGTAACCCATGGAATCGAATCGTGAACTATTGGAATCGAATTATGACACGTCTGTATCAATATAATCGCTCCCCTTTGAATCAAATCGTTAATCAATTGGAATTGAATCGGTACACGTAAGGATGAATGGAGTCGTTACCCAAAGAAATAGAATCGTTTTACCAATTGAATCCAATTGTTACACCAAAAGTTAATGGAATCGTTACCCAAAGGAATGGAATCGTTACCCCAAATGAGTAGAATCGTTACCCCAAAATAATAGAATCGTTACTCAATGAATCGAATCGTTACCCGATTGGAATCGAAGCCTTACACGTAAGAATCAACATAATCGTTACCCATTGACTCAAATCGTTAACCAAATAAAATAGAACCGTCACACGATACGATTAATAGATTAATTACCCAAAGGTAACTAAATCGTCTTCCCAATCGATTCGAACCGTTACACTAAATTCTAATAGAATCGTTAGCCGAGGGAATCGAATCGTTACCCTCTCTCCCTCCCTCCCTCCCCCCACGTGACCGCGCTCCTGGCCAATGGGAGGGCGGCTCGCGCCCCGTTCAAGTCGCGTGGCCGCGTACGCGGGAACGAGCTCAGACGGAGCTGAGACCCCGTGGCGAGCGGCTGTGGACCCGTGGAACGAGAGCCTCTGGAACTACCGCTGATCGAATTGTCATTTAATTTGCGCTCATCGTAATACGAAGGAGCGAGTTAACGAGACCAGATTCGGTGACTGTAAAATAGTCGTCGGGGGGGGGAAAGAAAAAAAAATCGAGAATTTTACGAGTTTGGGGTGGTGGGGGGCGGGCAGCATTTGGGAGTTTCAAACAAGCGGTGTTGGTCAAACATCACACTCGGGAAGGTCACGAACAGCGGTGACGAAGAACGGCAATCATTGTAATTGTAGACAAGCCGGCTAAGTAGTTGAAGCAGCAGCAGCAACAACCGCAGTCGACTCGAGCAGCAGCAGTAGTAGTATAACAACAGCATCGCCATGGCGAAGGTTCAAGTCAACAATGTGGTGGTGCTTGATAATCCATCACCCTTCTTCAACCCCTTCCAGTTCGAGATCACCTTCGAGTGCACCGAGGATCTACTCGAAGGTTCGTGCTGTGACCCTCTGCGTGTCGGTGTGTAGCTTCTTGTCGTCGAATGTTAAACGCGTCACCTCGTGTGTGTGTGTGATCACGAGGTTGTGCTGAAGCTGGTTGTGTTTTAGAGTTTGTTGTTTGGCGTTTGCGAGTCGGTGAACGTGGACGAATTGGCGCTTGAAAATGAATTGGTGGCTGTTTGTGGTGGCGGCGGCGGCGACTTGCCAAATCGTCGTTTCAACATCGGAAGATCGTAACGAGTTTATCATCAATGGGATCATCATCACGAGTTTATCAATGGGATCAGCATCACGAGTTATTCATTGGGATCATCATCAGCAGTTATAATAATTGGGATCATTATCAGCAGTTATCATTGGGATAATCACGAGTTCATCATCAGCAGTTATAATCATTGGGATCATCATCAGCAGTTATAATCATTGGAATCATCATCACGAGTTATAATCATTGGGATTATCATCAGGAGTTATAATCATTGGGATCATCATTACGAGTTATAATCATTGGGATCATCAGCAGCAGTTATAATCATTGGGATTATCATCAGCAGTTATAATCATTGGGATCATCATCACGAGTTCATCATCAGCAGTTATAATCATTGGGAGCATCATGAGTTTATCATCAGCAGTTATAATCATTGGGATCATCGTCAGGATTTATAATCATTGGGATCATCATCACGAGTTCATCATCAGCAGTTATAATCATTGGGATCATCATCACGAGTTATAATCATTTGGATCATCATCAGGATGTATAATCACACGGTCAAAGGAATCATCATGGCCCGGCCTCACTGCTCGTTGAATGAAGATCTCTCACGCAAGCGGACTTTTGAAGCACACTAACACAAGACAAACCCCATGGAAGTAAAACAACGACTGTGAAAAGACTTTAATCATAACAAGCACAATCTCCTACGGGTTTTGTTTGGCTTTGTGTGCAACATTTTACCGTTTCCATCCCTTTTGAAACGCACGAAATTACCGCGGGACCCATTAAAAAACACAAAACCTTGCAGATCGTCTGCCTTGTGCGGCTCGGTTACAATGAGTAGTGTTTGGTTTTTATATCAGTTATCTTGCTCACGCTTTTACATTTTTATTATTGTTAACGGTGGCAACCAAATGTTGCTAGTTTTTTTTTAAACCTTATTTTTATTGTAAATGTGAAAAGGCCCATGTGATGATGTCTGACTTTTGTGCAACCCACACTTGCTTTGTCGTGGTTCACATCTAAGTAGAGGACACGTTGACATCGTTAAGAGTTTGTGATACAAAGCGAGATGAGGAGGGGGATGTTACTACATTTTATTCCGAATATATATTTTGGCAAACTATTAATTGTACGTAGGCGACACCGCGCCTATTAACGCCACAATCTCCACTGTACATTGTGACGCCTGGTTATCATAATAGTTATACATAACGATACTTCATATCTCGTTAACGCTACTTTAACGTATTACGCCAATTAATCTTACTACTTTTTGTTAGCGTAGCGTATTTTTAAAATGTTTTATCGGTTTTAGCAGCGGGGTTGGTGGTGGTGTTTGAGGGCCTTGTGTTGCAGGCTTTAAGCGAAATATAACAGCGAGTGTCGAGAATTTATCGGCGTTTAAGTTTGCGGTTTGCGTATTTTGTTGTTTGTGTAGTTGTGTGAGTGTTAGGGTAAGTGCTTTTATTAGTAGTGTTGTTTAAAATAACAAGTAAAATCTATCTGAGGCCCTAATTTGGCGCTAAAAAGCGCGCGATAATTAATTTGGCGCAATTTAAGTTTCGAATCTTTCGTAATAACCCGGGGGGGTTAAACAAACAGACGAACGCAGCGCTATTAAATAACAACGGAGAGTTTAAAAGATAAAAAAACTAAAAAACGCGGTATTCAAGTGACGGCGAACACTTTGTAGCCGCCAATGCTGTACGTGCCACGCACTGTACACAACGCGATTGGGGCGAGATTTTGTTTAGATTTAAAACAAATGAATAACGACAAAGTATTAAAATTAAAAACCCGTGATGTAAAATGAAGATGCCTTACGCTACAATGTTGTTAAACGGCGGGGTAAAGCGGATTTCGGGAATGTGTAAATGTAGATTGGACTCGCGCGCACTGTACATTGGCGTACAGTGCAATTTGGCGCGATTTTCTGTATTTCACTTTGCGATAATCGATAATGATAAAATGTTATTCAATAGATGAGTAAAAGCGACAGACACCGCCGTGCAACAATGCTATAGTTTAAAAACGTTAAATGCCAAAACTTAGCGCAATTTCAATTGGATTATCCGAGCGACGTTTCAATTGCAATAAAGGATCGCGCGGCAATTTAAAACGACCCTGAAATGTCTTCTTGGTTCTTTCGGTAAAGTCGCGTAGAAGGGAAATAATAAAATAATAAAAATACAACAATTAAGTAACTTGTATTATTTCCCTTCTACGTGACTTTACCGAAAGAACCAAAATAATAAAAATAACATAATAAAATGTATTATTTCCCTTCTACGTGACTTTACTGAAAGAACCAAAATAATAAAAAATAAAATAATAAACTAAATTTCATTATTTCCCTTCTACGTGACTTTACCGAAAGAACCAAAAAGATGAATCCCTACAGTCACGAAAGCTTGAAATCGAAAAAAAACCCCGAAATGTTTAAGCATTAAATGCACAACGTGATTAGTTAAGGACACACTTGTAGCCAGACGAACGACGACTTTCAGTAACGCCGCATATTGTGGTGGAGCACTTGTTGGTACAACACAATTTGGCGCGATTTTTGGTGTGTTATTTAGTCCCAAGTGTATTAAATACACCGTAATAAGCGTTTAACCGCGTAAATTACAAAGGCGCTTGTACAAACTTAAATAATACGAGGAAAAATAGGAGTCGTAAATTCACATCCTTTGCCAGCAGAGGCAACAATAGACAATATTGTATCTAGTTGTACCGTGCAATGCTCAACCTTCTATGGCACTAGTCAGTGCCAATCCAAACAGGGAAGTATAGAAGATTCTAGATTTTAAGTTTTCGTGACTGCAAGGATTCATACTCTTAGTTTTTTTCGGTAAAGTCACGTAGGTAGAAATGTTTAAATAAATTAACTCACGACGTTTCGGAAGCAACGCAAGCCTCCGTCATCAGGTGTAACTGCTCCAGTGAAATTGCTGTAGCAATACATCTCATTGCTGTAGTAATTTCACTGGAGCAGTTACACCTGATGACGGAGGCTTGCGTTGCTTCCGAAACGTCGTGAGTTGATTTATTTTAATAAAAACTACCTACGTGACTTTACCGAAAAAACCAAAGAGTATGAATCCTTGAAGTCACAAAAACTTCAAATCTAGAATCTTCTATACTTCACTGCTTGGATTGGCACTGACCAGTGCAGTGAATTATGGTCAAAATTACCACCACAACGTGGGGGAGAGACCCTCATTCCAGCAGTGGATTGACAAAAGCGGTGAACACGGAAATACTGTCCATTCACAGACAACACCGTATTGGACCTACAATATTATCTGAGTTCAGTGATTTAATTACGATAAACAGTGCTCTGTATATTAAGCCATGTCGCTAGACTAGGTGGCGAGTGGGGTGGTCGAGACGAACGATGGAACGCCGGCTAAAGGAGTGAGAGTGTTTGCGAACCAGACATTGTAATAACATACCTGTCAACCCCTTATCAGTGCCCTGCCTTATTACAGATCAATTCAGATCTTATTGGTCACCCCGTGCCCTTATAAATCTCAAAGTTCATCCTACAAAGTCCCATCACAAGGGAGAACCACAGACAAAAACAACGATTTTGCCCGTATTGAAACAGCTGTATGGACCTGAAAACTCAATTTGCCTGTACAAGAATACAGGTGAAACCGTACGGGAAACAACCTCGATTCCCGATGACCCAGAAATCATCACAGTTCATTGATTATCTGCGATTAGTCGTTAACTTTATTTCGAGATGTGTAGGAGCGCCGTTGTTTTTAAAGACATTGTTACTCACCGCAGGAAACTGTAGCAACACGACCGCCACACTCTACTCTGCCACACGCCGGTTCCATTCCGTTGACGTGCACGTAACGGAGTTGGTCAAACATCCTAATATAGGACCACAGAACTCGGGCATTTGTTGGCGCCGCTTCTGGCCGCATACCTAGTGCTTCACATGGGTTTTCCCCCACGCCTCTGAATCTACAGAAACTGTAGCTTTTTGGTTTGTTGTCCTTCCCCAACACCTCTGCCCGCTTAGCACGGTCGGCTACGTACGGTGCGAAAGCATTTCAACATGCATGCAGCACGTGGACAGAATTTGCGACGTTATATATATTTTTTACTATTTTTTGTAACGTAGACCTGGAGTGGAAGATCATCTACGTGGGCTCGGCCGAGAGCGAGGAGTACGACCAGACGCTGGACTCGGTGCTCGTGGGGCCTGTCCCCGCCGGTTGCCACATGTTCGTCTTCCAGGTACCGATCTCTCTCTCTCTGTTCCTCTACGTCTGTCTCTCCTCCTTACTCCATCCACTGTGTCGTCGTGATTGCGGTCGGTTTCTTGTTTTTTTGTGCGGCGACTTATTTTTTGCGTCGTCTCGAAACGTCGTGTTTTGTCCATGAGTGAATGTATGCGTTTCGACGTTGGACATCATAATTGAATAGCGCTATCGTCGTCACCGGCAGCATTACCGCAGCAGTGGCCAAGCGGTGTTTCCCGAGCCAAATGCGTCTCTTTAATTTATCACGTGGCTCTATCGAAGGGGCGTCACGTAGAAATGTACAATCACAGTCGAAGCCGAAGAATATTGAACGTCTCCCGTGCTGTACCGAAAACTATCACTATATATCAACTTTTATACAATAAACTCGATTATCCGTGCTAAGGACGGGGAAGATTGCCGCGGATTATACATAAATATCCATTTTCCACGGTTCTCTATGCCTAAAACTAACGATCGACCGATGGATTTGCGTGCTCTGATAACACTGCTCACTACGTGGATAGGAGAGCTATGCCAACCAACATCAATCAAACTCTGCCCACTTGTAAAGGCTTGCAACTGTAGTACTTAATGGGAAATTCCATGAGTTATTAATTTCTACACGGTAGACTCGATAATCCGCAAATCGGATAAACCACACGTGGATAATCGAGTCTACTGTATATATATATATACTTGGCTCTTGGTAGAACTCGCGGGGACTTTTTGGCTCATGATCTGTTAGAGGTTGGCCACCCCTGCTGCATTAACGTAATGATGATCATCATAGCCAGCAGTTGTCCTTAATCGTCAAACGCACTGTGCACAAAACTTGGTAAAACCTGCTTTAATTTATCTTATCTCTTAACGATCGTTGATTCCGGCTCAACTGTTGCACTTGTAAGTCTGGACATTTCGTCAGCCTTCGACACCATCAACCATTCGCTCCTTACTTCCCTCCTGAAATCCGACTTCGGTATATGCGGCTCAGCACTCAAGTGGATAGCTTCGTACCTTTCTGACCGGCAATCCTCAGTCAGGGTGGGCATGTCCACATCGCCTGAAACAAGAGCATTATGCGGGGTTCCCCAGGGCTCTGTTCTAGGTCCCCTGCTCTTCACAGCCTACACTTCCCCGATCGGCCGACTCATTGCAAGCTTCGGTGTTAAGCATCACTCATACGCGGATGACACGATTCTATTCACCGCCATCGATTCTAGCAATGCATCTGGATTCGAGAGGCTCTCGGAATGTACCACCGCCGTGCAACAATGGTTCACTGCACACAACCTAGCCCTAAATCCGAGAAAGTCAGTGGCCATCATGTTAGGTACCAAGCAACGTCTCAATTCAGCAGCACTCCCCACACACATACACATCTTCGGTCATAGCATCAAGTTCACCAACCACTTCAGCTACCTCGGTGTCATCCTAGATTCAACTTTATCCTTCGACCGTCAAACCAACCATATCATCAGCTCATGTAACTTTCACCTGAAGGCTCTTAGACACATACGTCCTCTCATCTCTACTGAAATTGCCATCACTTTGGCATGTTGCATAGTTGGGTCTCGCCTTGACTATTGTAACTCCGTCCTTGTCCGGACCTCCGCTGGCAACCTAAGGAAGCTTCAAAGACTACAAAATAACCTAGCACGCGTCGTCATTGCCCACACTCATCCCCGCCTCGACTCACTAGATCGTCTCCGCGCTCTCAACTGGCTCCCCATTGCCAGTAGGGTCACATACAAGACCGCCTGCCTCTGCCACAATGCCTTCATATCCGCCTGCCCGCCGTATCTTTCTTCATTACTGACAACTTGCAGCTCAGCACACGGCAGATGCCTGCGCAGCGTGACTCACGACCTCCTCTCAATACCAAGATCCAGGATGGTCATGTCTACGCGCCGCTTCTCGGTGGCAGCCCCAACAGTCTGGAACGATATCCCTCTGCACATTCGCAGCATCACCTCAATCGCCTCCTTCAAGAGACACTTAAAAACTCACCTACAATCATGCTTTTGAGCGACTCTGAGCTTGGCTCCGCGCCTCTGAGTTGCGGCCACTACGTCTGCAAATTTGCGCGCGTTACAAATTGTACTATTATTATTATGTGCTATTGTGCCTGTGACCGAATCAGCTGGAATACACCCCGATTTTAGTCCTGTAGGCAAACTACGCAGGGTTTAGCGCTCAACACCTGCGATGAGCACGGTTGCAAAAGAAGTTCCACATACATATAGGTACGTACATCGTGCTTGGAAGGGCGACCACTATGCATGAAGCAGCCGGGTGTTATAGGCTGCTGGTGCTGCTGCTGATTACATTGTAGGCGGCAGATGGAAGTGTGGCAAATTGCATTGGTTAAATTGTGTCCTGTTCCATCTTCCCCTTGCTGCTGCCCTCAATCTTCTTCCCCTCCGTCGTTCTATTTCACGTGCCTTCTCCCTCTCTGTGTCTTTATGCCTCCCTGTATCTCCCTCCGTGGAACTTGTCTCTCTCCATATTCCTCCTCGGCCTGCTCCAAATTATTTCTCAAACATCCTCCCTGTCACCCTCTGTCTTCCTATATCGCTCCATCTCCTCCCCTCCATCTTCCTGTCTCTCCATCTTCCTTCATCTACTTATATCTTGTCATCTTCCTAAGCCCATCTCCTTACATTCATCTTCCTGTCTCCCTCCATCTTCCTATATCTCTCACCATCTTCATCTGTCCATCTTCTTCCCCTCCATCTTCCTCTCTGTCCATCTCCTTCACCCCCCAATCCTATCTCTCTCAATCTTATTCACCCCTACATCTTGCTCTGTCAATATCCCTCCCACCCATCTCTCCCCTCTTTCTTTCTCTCCATCTGCGCCCCCCCCCCCCCCGCTGGCTGTAGGCGATGGCAGCGAACCCGGAGCTGATCCCTGACACGGACGCGGTGGGCGTCACGGTGGTGCTCATCACGTGCACGTACCGCAACCAGGAGTTCATCCGCATTGGCTACTACGTCAACAACGAGTACATCGACCCCGAGCTCAAGGAGAACCCTCCCGCCAAACCGGATTACTCCAAGGTGCGCCACGGTTGGCGAGACGTTGACTACCGCGCCAGGTTATGCAGGAGGGCGTGGGTTCAATCCAGGGGTCGCAAACAGGTTTTGATTCCTTACCCGTACCCGGCCGCACCAGGGTTTCAAACGGGTACCCGTACCCGGCTGTACCCTACCCGTACCTGGCCGGGTAGGGTACGGATATCGGGTACCTGATTGCGACCTCTGGGATGAAGCCATGTTGCAGGTGCGGGTGGGTTGATTCTAGGAACTTGAATTGTGAGAAGAGACAAGACGTTGGGAAATGAGTGACAAACGGTTACTCACCAGTGACTCACGGCCTGCCCGTACCCGGCCGCACCAGGGTCGCAACTGGGTACCCGTACCCGGCCGAGTACGGGTAGCAGGGTATCAGGTAGAGTACGGGTATCGAGTACCCGGTTGCGACCTCTGGTTCAATCCCCCCGACCCTGACGATGCCTGCTGCATATTTGACTGACCATCGAACAAAGACGGTCAAAGCATCGCGTGCTTTTGGATGCGCTTCTACGGCCGTCTGGAGCACTCTTCTTCCGTCCGATATTAGGAAGCCACTGGAGGAGCTATGCACTTTTATATCGAGATTGAAACCTCATTTCTTTAAAACTGCTTTTTGTGTTTAGTTTGTTGTCCTTACCCCGCAACTTCCGATTAGCACGGTTGGCTATGTACGTTGTGAAAGGAGTTCAACATGCATATTTGGAGTTTGCATGTTTCTCTCTCCCTGTGATTGTGTGGATTTTTCTCTGGGTCCTCCGTTTTTGTTCCCTCCACGTTGAGAATCGACGTGCATTCAGGGTATTTGGCTGTTATACATTTCTACGTGATAAGCCACTTCTCTGAGCTATCGTTTGTGGCCAGGTCACTTCTGAAAACGAGATATATGGCTTATTGGGCCTTACCTGATAAAATAAAAATAGTCTTAATAGTTGAGTTTTTTTAATCGGGCCCTATTCTTGGGCCCTGTGAAAATAAACCTGGTTATATCCATCGCCTCGTTACTTCTTAATCTGACAATTCGTGGACTGTGATAATTGTCCCTGGCTGAAATTCTTGACTTTTAACACTTAATCTAGCTTCAATTCCTGGGCTCCTCAGGCCTAATCTGGCTCAGCCCTTGATATTCATAACACTTAATCTGGCTTAATCCGTGGGTCGTGATGATAAACCTGGCCCAATCGCTGTCCTTTTAGCACTAAATGAGGCCTTTATGACCACTTAAAAGCTTAATTTTAGCTCAAGTTTGAGATCGTTGATGATATAGCTGGTTAAAACTAAACCAGGCTTTTTTTCCTGGGGCGCCACGGGAGGCGAGATGTTAACTACCTCGCCTGATATGCAGGAGGTTGTGGGTTCGATCCCGAAACCTGTATACAGTAGAACCTCTGGTCACGAACGCTTCTGACCACGACCAAATCGGGTTCCGACCAAATAATTCACAACATTTTTTAATCTGGTCACGAACACAAACTCGGGTGGCGATCAAACACGGTCGCGGCCAATTTCCCCTTCCGCGCCATTTTTTTGTAAGCGCCAAATTTCCTGTTGTTTGTTTACAAACAACACAAAGCGTAACAGTTATGTATATAACTTTTGTTATGTAAAATTCCTAGAAAGATATTAATTTTGTGAGTGTAGTCATACCCCTCCCCCCTCATTCAAGCCGTAATTTAGAGAGCGAAAGCGCGGAGTACGTAAATCGCTAACATAAGAATCCGTTAATCTCTTCTCGCATCATTCATACGATGATGCGGTGAAGTAAACGTTCATAAACTATTTTTGTGCTTAAAAATCTAAAAATAACTATTTATATCCAGTTCGTAGGAGTCTGGAACGGATTAATTGTATTTACATACAATCCAATGGGGAAATTAGGTTCGAATCGGGTTGCGACCAAAGTTATGGAATGAATTATGGTCGTGACCAAAGGTTTACTGTATTTTGAGTTTGCGAGTTTCTCTCCCTGTGGTCTCGTGGCTTTTCTCCAGGTCCTCCGGTTTTTCCCCTCCACATTTAGAATCAACTTCACACGTATTAGAGTATTTTAGCTGCTTTCAATTTCCACGTGATGATAAACCGCTTCGTTGGGCCATCATTTGCGATAGCCAGGCCGCTTCTGAAAAAGAGCCACATGGCTCAGTGGGGCCTTACCTGGTTAATTCAATTTAAAAAAATTATTATTAGGTTTTTTTCGGTAAAGTCACGTAGGTAAAAATTTTATAAAATAAAAATAAAAATCACGACGTTTCGGAGGCAACACAAGCTTCCGTCTTCAGGTGGAACCGTCACAGCACGATAGCTGTATCAAGTGAGAGATTCCAAGAAACAGTATTTGTATATATATATACTGGTTGAGGGTGAGAGGAGCCAAGGTAGGCCCTGAATATTATTTTTTGTGAGGTTCGGTGCAGCAGTATATATACAAATACTGTTTCTTGGAATTTCTCTCACTTGATACAGCTAATCGTGCTGTGACGGTTCCACCTGAAGACGGAAGCTTGTGTTGCCTCCGAAACGTCGTGATTTTATTTTACTTTTATCAATTTTAATTTTTTACGTACATGACTTTACCGAAAAAACCTAAGAATATGAATCCTTGCAGTCACGAAAGCTTCAAATCTAGAATAAAAAAGCTAGTTGTGATGGTGAACTTGCCGCACTATTCTCAGCCTTTTGGTGATAATGAACCTGCCTCGGTCCTTTGGCCTTTGCAATGCAGCTCCTGGTATCCAACCGAGCTCCTATTCCTGGGCCCTGGTAATGAACACAGAATCAGAATCTTTACGTAGACTAGATGAAGAATCCGATGCGCTGTGAAGCTCACACATGTCCAGTCGGGGTGGAATCACAATAACGACGTCCCACTCTCCGTGGTATATTCCCCTCACAGCTCCAAAGGAACGTGCTGGGCACAAGCCCCCGCGTCACGCGGTTCCAGATCAACTGGGACGACTCGCAGAAAGTGGCGGAGCGTGAGAACGTCGACCCGGCGCTGGCATCGAACTCTGCGGCGTCCATGACGGCGGCGGCGACGGCGGCCTCGCCGGGACTGTCCACGAAGGGGTTGCCAGCCTTCCCACCGCCACCGCCGCTCGGCATGTCGTCCTCCGCCCTCGCCCTCAACGTCCACCCCGACAACAGCAACTCCATGGACTGCCTCTGACTTGGCGCCTCCTCTTCCGTCGTTGTCGTTTGTCGCGTTTCCGAAATTGCCGCGGGATTAACAAAAACTAAACAGGAAAACCGTTAAGTTGTTCCAACGACCACGTCGTGCGTCTCTCGCAACCGCACTCCGTAAAGGTTTTTTTTTGTTGTTCCGTGGCATGGTGTGATGCCCTCCCCCCCACCCCACCATCACCACCGCCTTGTTTGTGTGCTGTTTTTTTATATCGACAGGAAGCGACTTTGCTTTTCGGTTGACCGACATGAAACCCTTGCAGGCCGTCCACCACCACGTCCTATCCGCTACCCCCTACTTTTTTGGTTCACTCCTTTTTACTCCTCACAGCTCCAGTGTGCGTGGTATGAGGCAGACGGAGCGGAGAATTTGCTTCGGGATGTGGGTGGGAGAGAGGCGGGGGTGGCGTGACGTTGGCGAGATGTTAACTACCTCGCCTGGTATGCAGGAGGTCGTGGGTTCGATCCCGACCCTGACGCCTGCTGCTGTCTTTGGAGTTTTCGATGTGTCTCTCTCCCCTGTGGGTCGCGTGGATTTTTCTCCGGGGCCTCTGGTTTTTCCTCTCCACATTTAGAATCAAGGTCACGCGTTTAGAGTATTTGGCCGTTCGTAAATTTACACACTATGATGATAAGCCACTTCGTTGAGTTATCATTTGTAATAGCCAGGTCCCTACTGGAAAAATAGCTACATAGCTAAGTGGGGCCTGAAAACCTGGTAAAATAAAAGTAGTTTAGTTAGATGAGGGGTTTTTATCGAGGTAGTCCGAAGGCTTCGGTGCGCCGTGAGGGTCACTTGCCGTTGACCTCCAGTGTGGAAAGCTATGGAAAAGCCGCTCCCGTGTTTTTGTCGTGACAGGTTCAGAACTTTGGAGGTGGCTGAATAATCCCCCCGTGGGCTCATTCTGCCCATGTTGGTATTGAGTCACCTTTCCCTCTACCGCCTCCCCCCACTCCAAATTGTTTCCTGGCTTTCTAAAGAAATTAGCTTTTTCTCGTGCGCTGCAAAGCAATCGTTTCAGCCCAGTTACAAGATGAGGTTAAAGCACATAACGGAATCTGCTTGTTCTAAATTGGCGTTGTCTAGGTATGTCACAACGTTAGCCTCCATATCCCCCATACGCCACCACCACCCCCCCCCCAAAGCCATTTCATGAATTGTCACAATTTGGCGTTTCAGTTTGATTCAAGAATTAATATTTTCGTCTACCTTTGGCGCTGTCTTGTTTGTGTTGTCTCTTTCCCCTGCTACCCCTGTCTTGGCTGTGCATTATCCTACACTCACGTTGGGGCGCGTGTTTGGCAAGAGTATTTTGTGCAACGTTAGTTATCAGGCTCCTGTTACCACGCACGATTTAGAAAGAAGCGTGTTGCTCTTAGAGTTGTGAGAATAGATTTCGGTCGGTGTGTCGACCCGTGTCATGATTACGCGCCCAAGTGTTGACGCCCATCTCCCGAGATAGCAACTGTGAGCCTTAATACGTACGTACGTTTAACTTCTTTCGCACCGTACGTTGGCAACCGGCGCTAATTGGAGGCGAGGGGGAAGGATAAACTAAACACAAAGCAGTTCTTTAAGAAATTCGTTTTCAATTTCGATTATTTTAAAGTCACTCGTGACATTACGGCAGTCGCACAATCGGGATATATATTGGGGGGGGGGGGGGAGTGGGGGAACGCACATTGAACAAATGTGAATAATAATCAAACGGGAGTGAGACCACACGCTATTATTACCTGCGAGGCGTGCTACACGCCATTCACAAATCGGTGTCATGACGTCGTTGATGTGTTGAGAACCGCTGTGGTGGTGGTGCCTATGTCCTGTGCCGTTCTTTTGCCTGGGTACTTTTGTAGGTTCGTTAGGAAAGATCAGATTTGCGGAGCGGAAGGGGGTGCGGGGAGGGGTTTCTTTTGTTCGCACACCTGCTCACACAGTTGATGAGTTGTAATATTTATTTTTATGAATGCGCTTAAGGGGGGAGGTGCGACGGGATGGATGATGAGGTGGATGACTTAATGGCCAAGAGGGGTCTTTGAGCCCAATTGGCTCAACAATTTCTTATCTCTCCCAGCCAGGGTGGCAAATGCTAATAATGATTTTAAGAAAGCGTTTGGGGTTGCTTTTCTTCCTCGATCACAAATGTGTACGATGTTGTCGAAGGGTGCCGTAGAATGTCCGATTTTATAGATTGTTTTGGGAGAACTAATTTGATAGGAAACGTCTACGGGGAAAGGGAAAAAAAAAAAATCTAAAATGCATATTAAGTGCGTGCCGTGTCTATGAAAATGGACAATTGATCTAAAGCTAACCTTTCTGACCATGGTAGTGGTGGTGTTGGCGGATAGCGGTCAAGTTGAATGCTGCTAGTATTCGCCACCTAGGCCGGTAAAGACCACAACTTCCCGCTTTGCCCCCTTGGTTCACGGGCTAATAGCGAATCGGATAAATGTTTGTTGGCCGTTGTTAGAAGTGGAGGTGGCACCGTGTTGTGTGTGTGTGGTTTTATCGTTATTGGCGGTGCGGGGAAGGCCGGAGGAAGTTGTTTGTTCCATGGAGTTAGGTTGTGCGTGGGATTGAAGCGGAGGAGTTGTCACGCTTGCGCGCGAGAGCGACCATGTTGAAGTAATAGTCAAAAGTAACAAATGCATTTTATATAAGTACTATGTATAGTTAATAAAGTTAAAGTTATGTATTCACACACTCTTTGTGAAAATGTGTTAATCGTGTTTTTACATGGCAGTTTTTTTTACGTAAATTATCATCCTGTAATCTTTGCTTTCGGCGCATGTGTATGCGCGCGCGTGTGTGTACGTTGATATTCTCTGGCACCGTACTTTGCCAACCATGCTAATCGGAGGTTGCGGTGGTGGTGGGGGGGGGGGCGGAAGACAAGCTTAACAACAAGCAAGGCACGCTGTACGGTGGCTCGCCAGACAATTAACGCTGGACCCGTCATTGGCCAATTCGCGTATGCAAGCTTCCTTTCTACGATCACATATTGCCTGACCTTGCTTTGGCCTTAAAGATCACCCCCCCCCCCATTACTGCCTGCTGGAGGGGTTGGGCGGCAAGCGCCGTCTGCAAGCGCCTACAACGACCAGCTCCGGCACGCGAGGGGACACGTCACGTACAGCGGGGCCCACTCCCTTGCATCCCCTGCACCTGCAAACCAACGGTTCAAGGCGAATCAACCTTGCCGGAGACTCGCCCGAGGGGTAGTGGCGTCGGTCTCGTGGCCCCCATTTCACCACTTTTTGCTACTCTCGCCAGCCATGGCCGAGAGTCGAACCCAGTGGGCTTTGGGGAGACGGGTCGACATCCTGTGTGACGCCAGCTCGACGTCGAATTACCAGCCCTAATCGATGCGCACGCGCGAACGAAGTTGTCCCAAAGCTGGGCAGCTATCAAGATGTCACTGCAAGCTTGTAGGTCACCCTGTGATGGTGGTAGCGGTGGCTTCCGCTTGGCCCTCCGATGAGACGAGACCTTCACGGGGGATTAATTAAGAATTGAGGCTAAGCGTGGTTTAAGGCTGAACATCCTCCCCTGGTTACCGTATGGGACAGGGTATCATCCACGGGCGATATGCAGCCATTTGACAGCGCCATAATGATTTAGAAATGTCGCCTGCGTTTCTTTGCGCAGGACCTCTTGCCACGAAGGATATCCATCGCCCTTGCGGGCGTCGGAAAGCGTCGCTTTGTCACCAGATTTGGCGCGCCAAGTGTTTTTTTTCCCCCGATGTAAAGAATGCCGTCGCGTTTCAATACCGTGTTCGTATTGCGTGCGGTAATGCCTTGAAATTGTTTTTTTTTGGAATTGGATTAGGTTGTCTTTTTTAGGTTTTGCATGGTAGGGTGGGAGGGGGGGGTTGTTTGGATTTTTTTAGTTTTTTTTGTTTGCTTCCAATGTTTCTGCACACGTGTGTGCGTTAATGTCTCGTGTTATCCCCTGGGTCTCTGTTGCACAAGAGATGATTCTAAATGGGCTGTCGTGTAAAAAAAACGAAACATCTGTCATACTGTACATACGCCCCTCACAAATTGTTTCTACTTAGCACTGTCAAAGGTTCTGCAATAAAAAATAATAATAAAGCACTGAAAATTTTACAGGGTTTTTCCTTGTTTTTAAGAAAGAACAGATTTGCAATTACGCATTTCCGTTCCGAAACGTCTGCAAATTGTCGCAGCCTGTGCGTGGGTGTCCCCGTTCACCGCCGAATCTCGGGAACGGCACAAGCAGCTCGGCGTTAATTTTATATTTAGAGGCGTAGTCGCAGCTACGTTTCTAAAGACGTTACTCGCTGCAGGCAACCGTAGCGGCACGACTGCAGTACTCTCCGATAGCTGGCGCCGAAAAGTCACACGCCCCCCTCCAAGTGTGGCCTTTTCCTCCCGATTCCGTTACATTGACGTAAACGTACGAGTTCGGAAGAAAAAGTGATGACGTGTACGATGACGTACACGTCATCGGTAACGGGAAATGGTTAATGAGCCCGAAAACCCGACGGATTCCATGTTACATACTTTAGTTACTGGCATCTTCAGAAGAATATATATTTTTTTACGTATCAGAAACTTTATGTAGACTGGAGGAATCCGATGAGCTTTGAAGCGCTCTTTCACACACGTGTCGAGTGGCCTTGTGCAGTAATGGTGAGCAAACCGGACTTGCAAAATCCAAAAAGTTGCCGATTTCATCCAAGCGTGGGAGTTTTAACAACGGGCACGTTTATTAGAATATTTTACTGGTAGGAACCACCTGGTTCCACCAGCCCATGGGATTATTGTGTCCGTCCGTCGTGCATACAAAAATGGGAGGGGTGGGGCTGGGTGGAGAGGGGAGGGTGGGGAGCGGTTGGGTGTGGAGGGTGGGGCTGGGTGGGGAGGGGCTGGTCACCCCGTGGTGCCCTTATAAAACTCAACGTTTAACCTACTCACGCCGGCTTGTGCCTCACAGTCGGCCATATTTGCGTTCCTACCAGCTCCCTCCGCACGAATGTGTTATTTATACCGGAGGAATGATAAATACCTTCACCCCCTCTTTCCGCAGTATAAACCATAATCATTTTTTATTATTACACACTTTCATTAAACTTGCCGTGTTTGTTGATATTCTTTTGAAATGTTTTGACGAAGCCGAACGAGCTGAAATTGTTTACACACCGACTCGCTTCCTCGCGTGACGATTCAAGATTTCGTTTTACCAACAAAAAAAAGCCGGTCCAGATCCCACCCATCGTGGTGTCTATTCGTGTTTTAACTAAATGTTTACGAATTAGTAGTACATTCCACCCAACCCCCCCCCCATTTTTTTGCTATCACGATGGTCGCGCCCACCCCTTCCATTTGACCAAGAGCAACAACTAAGCACAAAAATACAACAAAGTAATTAAAAAAATCGATTTTTAAATGCGCACACTTTTATTTGTACTCAAGTAGAAAGTAAATGGCTTTGACCCTGGAATTTTTCATCGAATTTTACGTGCTCAATAAAAGTGTGTGGTTTTTCGATGTGTTAAATTTTCTTTATGCGAGCCACGCACGTAAACATTTGATTAATTCCGGGGTCAAAAGCATTTATTTTATACTTTTGAGTGCAAATGAAAGGGTATGCATTGGAAAGCTTGTGTTTTTTTACCTCTTTTTTACCAGGTAAGCCCCACTGAGATATGTAGCTATTTTTCACAAATGGTCGCTCAACGAAGTGGCAATTCGTCGTGTGGAAATGTATAGCAACCAAATACTCTCAAGCCGTGATGTTGATTATAAATGTGGTGGTGGTGAAAACCCGAAGGATCCGGAGAAAAATCCACGCGACCACGGGGAGAGAGACACACAAACTCCAAATATGCGCCAGGCGTCAGGATCGGGATCGAACCCACAACCTCCTGTATACCTGGCGAAGTAGCTAACATCTCTCCACCATGGCGCCCCTAAATAGTATAAATACACCGCATCTAATCGATTGCCAAGTAATGTGCATGGTGGCCAGTGTGGTAAAGGAGACTAGAATTTTCTTATAATACCCTCCGATGAAGGTCATTTTGAAAGAAGGGGTGTGATAAAAAAACATGCAGGGCTGTGCCTTCGTGCGAGAGTATCTGTATCACTATGTGGGTCTCTGCGAATCTGTGTGTCTCTGCGAATCCGTGTGGGTCTCTGCAAGTCTGTTTGGGTCTCGGCGAGTCTGTGGATATGCGATTCTGTGGGTTTTTGCGAGTGAATCTCTGTGTGAGTCTATCTGTGTGGGGATCTGTGCGAGTCTGCGAATCTGTGTGGGTCTCTGCGAGTCTGTGGATCTGCGATTCTGTGGGTCTCTGCGAATCGTGTGTGTGGGTCTCTGCGAGTCTGGATCTCTGTGAGTTTATCTGTGGGTATATGTGTGAGTCTTGTTGGGTGTCTGAATGGCGGCACCAAAATAATCCGTGAACTCGCAGCCAACGTCGTCGAACGGCTCAAGTGGAAACGAGACGTCAATTTGTGACGTCTGTTCCAAAAAAAAATCAGATGCTCATCTTTGCGACACGCAATTAGCAAATTCTAACGATAATGATAAAAAGATGAGCCCTTCATGGTGCTGGTGACAAACTTGTTAACTCATACGGTTAACCCGTATTCTTGTCCAGTGAAATTGAATTTTAAGGTCCATACAGCGTACAGCCGTTTCGATACGGGCCAAAAAATAATTTGTTCTTGTTTCTCCCTTGTGATGGGACTTTGTAGGATGAACGTTGAGATTTCTCAGGGTGACCAATAAGGTCTGAATTGGTCTGTAATAAGGTATGGCACTGCGAAGTGGGTTGATAGGTATGCGGTGACGACTGGATGTGAAATGAGGAGGACGAGTGACGGGGAACGTTTTGTGACAATGACGGGAGGAGGGGGGGGGGGAGACTTTCCGCATTCACCACCTCGCTAATTGGGGGGGGGGGGGGGGGGAGGAGGGGGGTGGGGCAATTAGCGAGACGCTGAATTAATTGGGACGTCCGCGGGATGTGCGTGCAGTTGACCTTTCGCACAAACCCTCAAAGCGCCCCCAGCCCCCCTCCACCTTTTCGTCGGTCGCCCGGGGTCGTTGAGATTGTGAGTGCTAGCGTTGGTGCTGTGGTGTGCGGTGTGGTGTGTGGGGAGCGGTAGTGTAGCGGTTAGCGCGCTGCGCTATGAACCTGGCGACCCGGGTTCGATTCCCGCTCACGGCTAACACCAGTGACGATTATCTGAACCGGTCCTGGGCCTCCCCTAGGTCGACTCAGCCTTAAATGAGTACCTGGTGCGGTGTGTAAACATCGCCACTAGGGAGACAAAGGCGGTCGGGCGTGGTGCTGGCCACCCACCCCCTCGTGTACCGTTCCGGCCTTCATAGGTGCTCGCTAACAGCACTTGCCCCTACAGTCTGTTCAGGCTATACGGGGGATCTTTGGTGTGGTGTGTGGTGCAACGAGAGTGGGGGGCGGTGGTGTAGCGGTTAGCGCGGCTGCACAACGAACCCGGCGACCAGAGTTTTCGTTTCCCTTGACGATTATCTGAACCGGCTCAGCCTCGAATGAGTACTTGCTGCGGTGTGCGAACATCGCCAATGGGGAGACAAAGGCGGCCGGGCGTGGTGTTGGCCACCCGCCCCCTCGTGTGCCGTGCCGCCCTTCATAGGTGCTCGCTAACGGCACTTGCCCCAGCAGTCTGGTAAAGGCTATACGGGGGATGTTTGTCTTTGGAACTGGTGAGCCACAGAGAATTCTAGATTTGAAGCTTTCGAGACTGCAAGGATTCATACTCTTAGTTCTTTCGGTAAAGTCACGTAGGTAAAAAATTCAATTAAAATTAATAAAAAATAAAATAAAAATCACGACGTTTCGGAGGCAACACAAGTCTCCGTCATCAGGTGGGACCGTCACAGCCAGATTTGCTGCATCAAGAGAAGCCACAGAGAAGCCAACGGCGTGTGTGCGCGCACGAACCTCCTCCACAGAGGCTGGCCTTAACACTGCTGCTACCGGCGATCCGTAAGTCCATTCAGGTGGAAGCTGCCCTCCAGCAACAACAAGAGGGCAGATGAGCGACGCCTCAAAACAACGTGCAGAGCGCCGGGCGGATAAAACGCAGAAAGTTGGCACAGCGGGCGGGCGCAGTTGGTGCATCTGCCAGTCAGTCAACCCATGACAACTACCTGGGTCTGCCCTATGGCGTGCCAGCAGTGACCCTTCGACACTTCACGTAGCCTTGAAGTGTACCGAGCCCTGGCACAGGCGCCGTGGTGACGCCGCCGCCATGTAATGGCGACTGTTGCTTTCACGGGGTGGCCCAAAAGATACAAGACACGTGGGTTATTTTACTGATTTCAACATACGTTCCAACTGACTTCCATTCACATGAATGCATGTGTAGTGAGCCCAAGGACGAGAGGGAGTTGAGGCGACACTTTTATTCAATAATACTAATGTACAGGGTCCCTAACGCAAACGAATAACGGCCCCTTACACCCGCTACCTGGGGAGGTATGTCCTTCGGGCTATCGTGTCCTATTGGGACCACGTACACTCAGCCCTCTGGCTAGGGTCCCGAGGGGAGGCTATCTCGACCCGACCCAGCCAAGGTAACGGGTCTGACCAATGGCCCTCTCAGCCCGGCACTTAGAAGGACAACGGGACGGGTACCCAGGGTCCTGCTCTAAGCCCGGTCTTCAGTCTTCGGTTTGAGGATCACTGGCGAACCCGGTCAGGGGTCCGGCTTTTATACACCGGCCAGGGTCCCCACGCCCCTGGCCACGCCTCCCTTCCAGAGCGTTCCAGAGAGACCTGGAATCTTCCCCCAGCCCCCCTCTTGGGGTCTGGGCAACCTTGGTGGCCCACACATCACATCCTACAGGTGGATGTCTGCTTGAGCAGCTAAGTACCCCGTTTATCGCGTTACACATGTGAAAAGGACTTCGGGCACGGTAGGTATAGCTCAACTTTATGGTTTATTCACAGATAACGTGCAAACACATAGAGACCTTACTTACAAAGGCTTCACTCCAGAATGCGCCCCGAGCTTTATCTCGGGCCCCTTTTATATCTCGCATCCCCCTTTCCAGCAGGTTATCCTTTCTCTTTCTCTATTTCCAACGGTTATCA